TATATATATATATATATATATATATATATATAAAGAATCCATCATGGTTGGCGAATAAACAGTTATCAGCTGTTGAAAGTGTGTGAGGCTGAAGTAACGTTTTTGCATGATTGTGTTGGCTTACCACAGGGGGATTTTCGACAAGGCAAGTGCGATCGACCAAAGCGGTTAATTGTCAATTGATGCTTGCTGAACATTGTTGGACTTGGCAAAGCATTTTTGTTTGAAAATGCAGGACCGAATCGGGGTAGTACCATTTTAGGCGATAACCCAACAGCTAATGACTGCTTACGGAGTGACGCTTGTCACTTAAAAATGAATACCAAAAGCGGACTACTGCCAGATTTGGAGATGCTTTGGGAATTTAAAGTTTACCCCGGATTGCTATGGCTGTCCGGAGATATAAAAAATCATCCGGTTCGGTCTCCGGTGATGGTACAGGGAGACAGCTTGACGCATACGTTGTAGTACGTTTCAATTGCGGGCGAGTAGAGTCAACGCAACTGTGCATGACTTCATCCTTTGAAAATCCGTAAATATTTTTCGAGGACAATTAAGCTGCTGTGTTTCTCATTTAACCCTGGATTAAAGGGATTTCCCGAAAAAGGGTACGGAATGGTGCGTAGGTTTCAGGATCATCCCCGCAATAATGCACCCCGGATTCTGCAGCAAAAATTGACTTGGGTGCACCCATAGAATGCCGAAAATCCCACAATGCCGAAAAGCCTACGATGTAGGAAAAAGGAACTGAATCTCAACAGAAGCTATAGAACCAATTGGTTCGAGGATCTTTAGTAGAATACGGTGGACGTGAAGGGTAATCAATAAACGAAGCCTACCATTGATTCAAGCATATGAAAGAAGACTTATTTTACGGCAGATTTTATGGTTTAGGTGGGGAAGTCAAGTTGCAATAAAAGCTAATGACTGGCTTGCCAAGTAAGAAGCTGCACCTTTTCGGAGAATTCTTGCATATTGTAGTCAGTCGTATGCAATTCTACTACTTACCTCCAATTATTTTCAAATGCCTGCTTTGAAAGTTAGGTGATCATGAAGCATATAAAGGTCAAAGCTAAAGCCCCTGTTCTTGGGATCATGCTTAAAGGTACAAACAATTTACAACTCATTTGACTAGATGCAGTTATCAATTCTTGCTGCAGCTACCTGTGTTGTGCAGTTGGCCAACTTTGCCTCAGCAGAGCCCACGGCTAAGGAAGTGGCGGCCAACTTAGAACTTTTTTGGTCTTACAATAGGTCTGACCCTGTCTACCCTTCTCCGAAGATTTCCGGATTAGGTGACTGGGAGTTTGCGTACCTCAAGGCAGTAGAAATTGTTTCGCAACTGACAAATGAAGAAAAAGTCAACCTGACTGTCGGTTACTCTTCAGAACTCACGGGCTGCTCCGGTATGATCCAAAGTATCCCAGATCTAGGATTTGATGGAATGTGCTTGCAGGATGCCGGAAATGGTGTTCGAGGAACAGACATGGTCAGCTCTTATGCCTCAGGCATTCACGTCGGTGCATCATGGAACAAGCAGCTCGCATATGATCGGGCTCTCTACATGGGAGCAGAATTCAGACGCAAGGGAGCTAATGTTATCCTCGGTCCAGTTGTGGGACCTCTTGGTAGGGTTGCGACAAGTGGACGTAACTGGGAAGGATTCTCTAGTGATCCTTACCTCACCGGATCTTTGGCTTATGAGACAGTTGTTGGACTGCAGAAGAATGTCGTTGCATGCGTCAAACACTATATCGGCAACGAGCAAGAAACCAACAGAAGTCCACCTGGGTCGTACGGAGGGACAAGTGCGACAAAGTACAATGCATCTGTGTCCGCAAACATCGATGACAAAACTATGCACGAAGCATATCTATGGCCTTTCCAAGATTCTGTCCATGCCGGCGCTGGCTCCATAATGGGTTCCTACAACCGCGTGAACAACAGTTATGCTTGTCAAAATAGTAAGGCCTTGAATGGCCTTCTGAAAACGGAGCTGGGGTTCCAAGGTTTTGTCGTTTCTGATTGGGGCGGACAGCATACTGGCATTGCAAGTGCCAACGCTGGTCTTGATATGGCTATGCCAAGCTCTAGTTATTGGGAAAGCGGCCACCTGGTTGAAGCTGTTAACAACGGCTCAGTATCCCAAGACCGTCTTGACGATATGGCAACTCGCGTTATTGCAGCATGGTACAAGTATGCCAGATTGGATGATCCAGGAAATGGCATGCCTTCAAATGTTCTTGAGGCTCACGATCTTGTTGACGCACGCGACCCCGCATCTAAGAACACCATCTTCCAAGGTGCTGTTGAAGGGCACGTGCTGGTTAAAAATGTCGATAACGCTCTTCCTCTCAAAAAACCAAAGCTCATATCACTATATGGTTACGACGGCATTGCTACAGATACGGAGATCCAGGGTGCTTCTTCAGGTTTCGGCGGTTTTGGTGGCGATGTAGCGGCGATTTCCAACGGAACTCTCTATACAGGAGGCGGATCAGGTTCCAACACTCCCTCATATATTGATGCTCCTTTTAACGCCTTCTCCCAGAAAGCCTGGGAGGATGGTTCGTTTTTATCTTGGGACTTTGCTTCAGCGGAGCCCAACGTCAATGCCGAATCAGACGTGTGCATAGTTTTCATTAATGCTTATGCAACTGAAGGCTCTGACAGACCCAACCTGGCAGACAAATATTCTGATAACCTGGTTGAAAGTGTTGCCGACCAGTGTGCAAACACCATGGTTGTCATCCACAATGCTGGAATCCGTTTAGTTGACAACTGGATTGATCATGAAAATATCACTGCAGTCATCATGGCTCATCTCCCTGGCCAGGACGCTGGTCGGTCACTGGTTGAGGTTATGTACGGAAAACAATCACCATCGGGGCGTCTTCCATACACCGTGGCCAAGAAAGAATCTGATTATGGAACACTTCTTGACCCAACTACTCCTGAAGGCAATGTCGACCTATACTACTCACAGTCTAACTTCACTGAGGGTGTGTACATTGACTACAAGGCTTTCATCAAGAGCAACATCACTCCACGCTATGAATTCGGCTTCGGTTTAACTTACACCACCTTCGAATACACAGACTTGGATCTTCAGACTGCAAGCGCTAATCAAAGTTATCTTCCACCAGATTGCACCATCGCTGAGGGCGGACCTGTCTCTTTGTGGGATGTTTTGGCAACTGCCAAGGTTACTGTCACCAACACAGGGGAAGTAGCTGCTGCTGAAGTTGCTCAGCTCTATGTTGGAATTCCAAACGGACCTCCAAAGGTACTGAGAGGATACGGCAAGCAAACTATCCAACCGGGTCAGTCTGCTGAGTACGTTTTTGATCTCACTCGCCGTGATCTCAGTACTTGGGATACCGTCACTCAGAACTGGGTTTTGCAAGCTGGTTCGTACCCAGTATACGTTGGCAAAAGTGTCTTGGATATCCAAATAGGTGGGGCACTGACCTTCACCAATTAAGGGATTTCATCCCAAAGAAAACCCCCATTTTAGCTTTCTTTCTTCTCTCTTTATCCTCAGGTCCGTCTGAGCAATTTTCTCTTTCAGTTTCCTCAACTGTTTTACTTTCAAATTCATTATTTACATTGATTTAGATGTAGGCACAGCTTTAGACTCTTGCGGGGTTTTTAAGTTCTCTGAAACTCCTTCAGAATATCCAGAAAAAGACTTTCATTATTGACATTTCCGTTGCATTGTTTTTGATTTTGTATCCAAATATTTCTGAGACTGCAATTATCCAAACCATTCTTTGAAGAAGCTTGAGATTCTGGTAACTCAGTTTCACTCAGAGCAGCGGCAGGAGAAAATACTTTTGGATGTCAAAACTAATAACACACTTTTGGCATCTCGAACCAAGAGAAATAAAAAATGGTGAGGTCTACTGGACATCTCATGAAATGAATAAATATGACTTTCAAGCAGTCGCATCGTCAACAAGAACACCCTTGTAAGTACCAGAAAAGAAATCCTTGTTTTCCTTAGCATGCTCTTCTGGCTTCAGCAGAGCCAATGGATCTTTGAAGTCGATATAACCAAGGAACGGCGCTGAGGTTGTGAGACCCAAAAGTTTGAGAGCGTCGACTGATAGACTTTTGAAGTATTCTATTGGAGTTCCAAGCATGATGTTCTCCTCCTGTCTCAGAGTTCCAAGGGTCATGAACAAAATGGTTACTGCTCTGTATTCGTCCTCGGTCGTGTTGGCTGACCCACCATGGAAACACGAGGCAAGCATGAAAAAGCAGTCCCCTTTGTCCAATTCAGCGTACATAACCTCATCTTCGCTGGGATGTCTCCAGTGATCCCAGAGGTGGGAACCTGGAACAAATCTTGTTGCACCATTAGCTTTGGTGGTTCGGGTAAGCGCCAGCGCAGTACCCAGGGCAGTGTCATCGCCATAGTGGTATGAGTCCCTGTGTTTGCGGGTGTTATGGTGAATTCCATCATCACGATGCAATGCCTGGTCCTTTGCACCAGGTCCAATTCTGAAGGTGATTGTGCAATTGTGTTGTGGAGGAGAGTAGCCTTCAATAATCTCATCACCAGTCCAAGTAGCATGTTCCCTGCCTAAAAACGCCTTCGAAACAGCTACATTGAGCTCGTGAGTCAGAAAGTTCTCGGCGCAGGCCCTTGACTTGACACACATGCCTGCCACTCTTCTAGTTTCGGGTGGAAAGAAAGTTCCATCCCATGAACCGTCCTGATCAAGGTGCGGTTTTGCATCAGCATAAATAGTATCAATCACTTCCGTTGGAAGATAATTTTTGACAATACACCCACCGTATATCTCGATCTTTTTAATGACCTTCTCAGCAGTGGCAGGTTCGCTAACAGTGAGATCTTCTTTAGTGACTTTCACAGGCATATCGTAGTTGTTCCTGGGGACCTTAGCATACTTAATCCCCTCCTTCTCAAAGACCACGTACTTGTCTCTGGTTTCGCTAGCTACTTGTCTCATAGTGGCTGCAGTGGAATCTATTTCAAGAGGTCCTGAATAAAAATTTGAAAACTCCAGTGAAAGGAGATCAGACCCGATAATTTATGTCCAGGGAGTACCGCGGTTGGAGTTTACTAATTTGGCGAGCAAAAAATTTTGGTGTTCCGCGCTTGCGCTTACCCGACCTTATCTTATCTCTTATCTTTAATCCTTCCCTAATCGGACGGGGGCGTTCAATGCTCATAATCCGATCCAGCATGATATGAGGCACAATGTATGAGCAACAATCAAATCCAAAGAAAAATAGATCTTACAGCCTAACCTACGTACTAAATATTGAGCATGTACTTAGTCTTTTGATGCCGTAAGGTAGAACCAAGTGAAGGCTGGGTACATTGCACTTTCATCGATGGTAAAACTAGCTAGAAATGGAGGAATCACCTCAACGAAGAATTCAAGATGCACCTGCCTCAAATAACTATAGACTGGCCATAAAATTATCAAAAATAAACGAATACGACGAAGCTCTCAGAAAATCATAAAACTAATTGGAATCCTTTCCCCATATCGTCAGAGCTGTTATCTTGCTCTGGTTTCACAACTTTGAGAGGATCCTCCAAATCTCTGTACCATCCACAGAATGGCTGACTGACAGCTAAGCCAATGCTCTTCAAAGCCTGAACTGACAGCGACTGAAAGTACTCAAGAGGAGTCTCGAGAAAAATATTGATTTCCGGTCTCAACAAACCTTGTGTCATGAATATGAAACTCATGTTACGCCATTCGTCTGTCGTGGTGTTAGCGCTACCTCCATGGAAGCAAGAAGCCAGCATGAAGAATGCATCGCCCTTCTCCATTTCAGCGTAGAAAGCTTCCTCTGGCTTTGGGACACGCTGGTGGTCCCACAGGTGAGAACCTGGAACAAAGCGAGTCGCACCATTAGCCTTGGTGGTTGTATTGTGTGCTACAGCACAGGCAACAGCAGTCTCATGACCGTACTCATACTTCTCACGATATTGGCAGATATTGTGGTGGGTAATGTCATCACGGTGTAAAGGTTGGTCCTTGGCACCAGGGCCAATGCTCAACATAGATGACGCATTGTGCTGTGGCTCGGAATAAGCTGTAACGAGCTCGTCTCCCATGATGAATGAGTTCTTCTTTCCGATAAAGCGTGCACAGATTTCCCTGAACATTGGATGACACATGAAATCCTCAGCAACAGTTTTAGACTTGCAAACAGTAGCGGTGACTCTCTGGGTTTCCTGTGGAAAGAAATCACCATTCCAGACTCTTTTTGTGAAATGTGGAGAGATCTCATCCCACATTCTATCAACGATTTCATCGGCTAAGAAATTTTTCACGATAGCACCACCGTATATCTCAAGCTTCTCTGCAATCTTATCTGCAGTCACGGGCTCAGATATGGTCAAATCAGCGACTGTGGGTTTCAAAGATTTTTCATCTTTGATCGGATTTTTAATTCTTGCAGTTTTAACATCTCCCTTAACAGAGAATTCAACGTTTGAAAGGGTGACACTTGGGGCAAGCTCGGAAAGATCTTGAGGTGGAGGGACAGTCATCTTCGTTATCGGTTGGTCTGGATGAATCAGAAGATTGCGATTCGGGTTGTAGAAGGGTTCACCGTGGACTTTTTAAAGTAGTGCTCTCGCTCTTCTTTCGCGCTTATCAGAAATGAAGCATATCCAATTAAGGCAGTTACACCCACGTTATCGCACTAGGAAAAACTCTCATGCGGGAACCTGCAAGCTTATCAGCAGTCAACCCGATGCCCGAGACATAAACGCCACACGCCTTCAAAAAAGAGGAAATCGAGAACGACCTTTAATTTATCTTGCACCCCTCATTTGGTGGAATTACCACGCTATAAGCAAAGCCTATCTTAATTTTTTTCCAATTAAGATGGAAATCGTGAACGAAAAATCGAGAACTAAGTTTCGTTGATAAATGCAATTTTTTAGTTCGCGCCAGAAGTCCATGAAGAAGGTAAATGTCGCGGTTTGCTAAATCACGTATTTCCCCCACATTTCTAGCAGTTGGGCAGGACGCAGACTGTTGATATCTATTAGTTCATGACATAAACAACTTCTTTTCGATCCACTTCACAGTCTTGGATGGCATCTCGTGGGATCTTGCAGTATCATTCGGGAAACTGCGATCATTGTTTGGATTAATGAGATGTGTAACACACGTGTTACTCATTTGTACAATGGTCAGTGCTTGTTGGCAGTGGGCAAATCATGCGGAAATCAGAAGTTGCAAAAACCTCAAGCCTTATGCTTCCGGCTCTTCTCCTCAGATGGCAAGTCCTGCAAATGTTTGCGTTTCAAGATCATAACTTCGGAGTTTGTGAATAGAAAACTCATCTTTCCCAGTACCCTGTCACAAAGGCATGGATGATTTCCCAGTAAAAAAAACTTTCAACAAAGTCAAACCGCTTGGTATACACCATCGAAAACAAAGCGAAAAGTCCAATCGGTTTCATCATACAATTTGGCTGTCCGTGCGCCGAACAAGAAACTATGGAATGATCGTAATACACATGTGAACATCATCTAGAGCTTAACTGTTTGATATCACTGTTGATACCTTTTTTTCAAATTGTGTGTGATCTCAAAACTAATAAACAAAATGAGAAATACTGGCATTGATTCTTTGGCTAACACAAACTATCTATTTCTCTCTGTTCACGCAAAGCTTCAAATTTTGACCATTAAAGTGGTTTGTCTTAAAAAGCAGCATTATAATCCGACAGGGGCTTAGATGAGAGGACAGAGGTGAGAAGCCATCCAGATTTCATAAGAGTCACAAAGAGTCCAAACTCAAACATGATCCATGGTGCGCTAAACCTCGAATAATTTCCCAAAACATAGTAGATTGAATACATACCACAAAGAGTAGAGAAATAGAATTTGATAAAGTTCAATATAAAAAATACACACTGCTCAGAACCGAAAAGTTACATCATCCTTCTCGGCTTGAATAACTGTGTCCACTAAATCTTCTTCCTTCAAAACACAGTTGAAGTACCAAGTTCCAGAACCAGTTTGGTTCTTTTTGCCATTTGGCAAGACAACCTCGGCAGAAGAGTTGAGTGGGACCGTAACTTCCATCAAGAAGTTGAGACCATCCAGTTTCCACGAAACACTGATCAACCCGTAAGGAGAACGATGAGTTACCTTTGCATGAGTGAACCCACCACCGAGAATAGGCTCAACTTTGAAACTCTTCCAACCAGGTTCGGATTTGGACAAGCCGCCAATAGTCGAGTGCATCCAACTAGCAACAGCGCCAAAGGCATAATGGTTAAATGAAGTCATCTCACCAGGGTTTATGGTTCCGTCTGGAACCATACTATCCCAACGCTCCCAGATGGTGGTTGCTCCCATAGTGACTGCATACAACCAGGATGGACACTTAGTTTGTAACAGCAATCTGTAGGCAAAATCGGCATATCCAGTCTGAGCCAATGCCTTGGTAATGTATGGAGTACCTGCGAATCCAGTGCCAATCTTGAAGTTGCCCTTTCTGACAATTTCCGCCAATCTTTTACCTGCATGTTCAACCTGGGTCTTGTTGGCATATAGATTGAAGCATATAGCGAGGGCATAGGCACATTGAGTATCGGAAGCACATCTTCCGGAGATAGCCAAGTATTCATCAGCAAAATCCTTTTTACACTTTGCCGCCAAAGAGGTGTAATACTCGAGCTCCTCGGTTTTTCCCAGAATCTTGGTTGTCTCTATTAATACAGTGATAACCTTGAAGAGAAAAGCATCAGCCACGAATCTGGCGTCGGTCAATGCCAGAATAGGGTTCTCTGGAGGAGCAGCTGGGTCCAACCAATCTCCAAACTGGATTGCCACCTCACGCCAGCGCACTTTGTTCTCAAGCTTTGGAATAGCCCTGATCCAATCAGCCATACTCTGGAACTGTTCCTCGAGGATATGAGGATCGGCATATTCATCGTAGAGTGCCTCGGGAACCAATACCGCAACATCTCCCCAGACAGCACACCCCTCGCTTTCGCTAAGGATATATCCACCTACATCGGGAACAACGAGTGGTGGAATACCATCGTGTTCCTTTTGCTCAGCACTCACATCTTGTAGCCAGTTCCTGAGAAGAGGAGCACAATCAAACAGGAAACAAGCTGTTGGCGAAAACAGAGCAATATCACCCGTCCAGCCAAGTCTCTCCGCTCTTTGAGGACAGTCGGTTGGCAACCCCAAAAAGTTTCCTCTTATACTTCTAATTACGTTGGCATGAAGCTGATTGACCATGGTATTGGAGCTTTCGAAAGTTCCAACTGGAGTCATATCGGTGCTGATAACAACCAACTCAATCGAGTCCTTGGTCAATTCACCATACCAGTTGTTGATCTCGCAATACCGAAAACCGTGGGAGGTGAATCTGGGAGTCCATTCTTCACCTTCTGGATCTCCTTTGAACGTATAGGTATCGGTAGCCTTAGCAATACGTAAGGGTCTCACTCCAAGCTCACCTTTCTCCATAACCTCAGCATGGCGCAACACGATGGTGTGTGATTCGGGTGCAAATGTCTTTTTGACTCTCACAAAGCCCACCAAATTGAGACCAAAGTCAACGATGGTTTTTCCACTGGGAGTGGTGAAGATCTCCTGTGGCCTAACTGTGTCAATGTGGCGAATGTATGGGAAAGATTGGGGAAGAATAGACTTCCCAGTGAACTCAACCACATCAACAGCAGACCAATTATTAGTTTTGAAGCTTGGGGAAGACCAGCCATCTTGCTCCAATCTTGCATCATAGGTTTCTCCATGGTAAAGCTCAGCCAACACAATTGGACCCGAAGAAGACTTCCAGGAGTCATCAGTAATCACCTTCTTGATGGTCCCATCCGCGTAGATAATCTCTAAGAGTAAGCTGATAGCTCTTGTTTTTCCATAAAGGTTGCACCTACCATCAAAGCCTAAATAACCACTATACCATCCAGGAGCAGCCCTGACTCCAATGGCGTTCTCACCCTCGGTCAAGAATTCAGACACATCGTAAACCTGGTGAAGCAATCTGTTGTGATAACTGGTCCAGCCAGGAGCTAGATAATTGGTACTGATTTTGGATCCATTGATCTCAACCTCGCAGATACCAAGGGCAGTACTGTACACTTTAGCAGACATAATATCACCAGAAGAATGGAAATCCTTTCTGAACAGGGTTTCCGATGCATTCGCATCTTGATCTTTCAAGGCAATGAACTTTGGTTCCCAAGCATCGATGGGTAAGATTCCAACTTGAAAATCAAAAAAATCACTCCATTCGGAAAACTGGTCCTCAGCTTCACTTGAAGCGACACGAACGGAGACGCCAAATTGTTGTTTAGAAGCGAGCTTTTTGTCCTCCCAAGGCCAGGCCACAAAGGTCGATTTTTCAGACTTGACAACCGGGAAGGTGGTAACTTCACTGTTAAACAACTTGATCCTGATCTGGTAGGCTCCCTGGAACCAATGCTTCTCAGCACCAACGACCTCCCAGGAGATTTTGGGAGTTGGGTTATCCAAAACTCCAAGCTCTTTACCCGATGTGAGCAGATCAACTTTTACTTGCTTTATCTCAACCATGACTTGCGAATTATTTATCTAGACAGCAGACAAAATGGCTGGAAGACCAGGATTTGGGAATTATATATATACATACGTATAGCGCCCCCACAGTGGTGCATCATATCCTGCTAGTAGTTTTGAATCAATGATGTCCCGAAGAGACTGTGCATTCTGGACTCCTCGTGGCTTTGTTCGGTGTCAACCTGTGGGGTGTCAATCTTCGGGGTGTCAATCATGCAGATTTAGAGCGCCGGGGTAAGATCTTGTAACCCTGTAGATTCTTCGAAATAGAACCAGTCTGCCGCAAGCAAAACCAAAGATTGCTGATCGATACCGCCCATCTCTTGCAAATCAATTCCTTTCTTTATTGGCATTTTGCCGCACTCTTTGACAAGTTTCAATGCTTCAGTTCATGTTTGATATTGTTTCCTCCATAAGAACATAGGGCGATTGGTGATACTTCTACATTCGACCTTGTCAGTTTGCCATTTTACTTTCATGTCTGCTCACTTTGGAGAATTCGTACGGTTCGATCTATAGCATAATTGGTGTAATCATGACTCTCAAACTTCGTCGTGTTGCTCATTCCGCATACACTGCGTCCTATGCTCTGACATCACTGTCAACCAAGGCGTTGTCATTCTTGAAGGTGCTTTACCTCGGTATTGCTTTAGCATCCTTTGGAGTACACAAGATTCTATAGTGACGTCAGATCCCTTGCTCTCCTTCTCCCTCTCGCGGTAATACGTTTCCCCGGGACAACTTCCAATGCACTGTGGTTGCCTGTGATTGTTTCGGGGGAATGAAATACAGTTGAGACTGTCCCTGCTGTTGTTCACGCGGGAACGCAAGCTTGAAGGATCTATCAGACCTTAATATACCCCGCAAGGGTTTGGGGTTGTTTCTTGGCCTTCGGTATGTATTTAACCCGTATTTGAATATAGACTGAATACTTACAAGTTTTGCTTTTTATGTTATCGATTATTCAGTGTTCATTTGTTCTCTACCAGACGTGTGTCACACGTTCTTTATTTCAGTATATGCAATACCCCGCATATTTGTGCGAGATTAGTCCGAAGCATAATAATTCCGAAAGATGCGATTTCCGGGTCAAAAACACCTTTCATTCAAGTCAAAGTTCCTGAAAAATAAGTATTATAATTCTGACCCGCCATCTCCTGGTTCACGAAATCTTTTTCAAATGGCCAGGTTGACACGACTTTGGATTCTCGTAGCGCTCGGTGTCGATTTCTTTTTGAATGCCCGATGCCACAAACCTTTCAAGCCATTACATGAAAACCAGGGTGCTGCACGGCTAAACTTGTGAGAGGGGTACACCTTAGTGGGAAATATGTCAGTTTCCTCCGGGGATCGAGAATAAACCTACTAAGCGGAGTTGGCCCCTCATATCAATTGTCCGTGGCCTCGATTAGTGCCGCCTCAATGAACGCCGAATCATCCCCGCAAGTGAAAGATGTTTGCCTGACTGAAGTGCAGACGTATGAAATGTCAATAAATAGCCGGTGGTCTCTGAAGATAACAGCAGATGTTGAAAAATCGTATCAACTCATTATGAAGAAAGATTTAGAGGGTCAGAACGATGTGGCGCAGGCAGCTTCTACACAAGGTGATTTCAACATTTTAGAGGCCACTGCTCGTGCCCAACAAAAGATTGAGCACCAATTAACCAAGTGGCAGGCGGTGAAGACTTATCCAAAAGCTACTGCATGGATCCTGTTTAACGTTTGGGTTATGGTCCTTTTGGGCTACGAAAACCAGGCGGGTGGAATTGTGCTCTCGATCCCACAGTTTAGGAAAGATTTTGGATATCTTTACGAAGGATCATACGTTCTTGAATCAAGCTGGCAGTCCATCATTACTGGTGTGCCAATAGCCATAATTGGTGTTTCATCATTTGGAGTATCTTATTTTTCGGACAGGTACGGAAGAAGAGCCATTCTTGTTTCAATGCTTATTCTCTCGATTCCATCTATTGCCCTCGAGTATGTGGCTACTACTATTCAAGTGTTCGTGGCTGGAAAAGCGCTGAATGCAATTTCTCTCGGATGTTTCAACACTTTGTGTCTTGGTTACGTCTCGGAGGTTGCTCCATTGGCATTGAGAGGTTGGGCTGCTGCTGCGTGTGCCTTGTCATTGTGCATCGGACCATTTGTGTGCTATCTTATCAACAACACAACGGTATCATTCGATAGTCGTATGGCATACAGAGCTGTCTTCATCCCACAATGGATATTCTCTATTTCTGCTCTTTGTGTGGCTCCATTCCTTCCCGAATCACCTTATTACCATCTCAATAAAGAAGAGGACGAAAAGGCTATGGGCTGTTTGAAAAGGCTATACAATCCAACTCAGGCTCAACAGCAGTTTGCTATTATGAAAGTTACTCATGAAGAGTTGAAACAGATAACTAAAGGAACTTCCTTTCGTGATTGCTTTAACAAGAAGAATATTAAGAGAACTCGTCTGGTGCTATTCACTATGTGGATGTCCCCAATGTGCGGCCTTTACTTTGTTGCCTTTTATGCAACTTATTACTACCAACTCGCTGGAATGACAACCCATGGATCCTACCAATTGAGCTGCGGAGGTCAGGCATTGTCAGTAAGTGGTGTTCTTGCATCGTTTTTTATTGTGGACAGGTTTGGTCGCAGAAAACTGATGTTGTTTGGAATGATTTCTCTCACTACGATAAATTTTATTCTTGCCGGAGCAGGAACAGATACAGACAATCCAACTTCAATGAAGGTTGCTACCGGGTTCATGGCCATGTACAACTTCTTCTACAACATAGGAATGGGCCCCATGGTAAATATCATACCTTCCGAGATTTCTTCTGTGGGATTGAGATCAAAAACTTTTGCGTTGGGTATGATTGTCAATTATATGTTCTCGTGTATGTGGACTCTCGTTTTGTCCTATATGTTCAACCCAGACCAGGCTAACATGGGATCCAAGATTAGCTTCATCTTTGGCGGTTTAAGTCTTGCTTCAGTGTTTGTCTTCTATTTCTTTCAACCTGAAACCGCTGGCAGATCTTTTGAAGAAATCGATGAGATGTTCGCCAAGAATATTCCTCCACGACAATGGTCCAGCTACAAGACAGAGAAGCAAATTGAGAGTGAGAAAAGTTTCTTTGACCTCAAGGCCCAAACTTCTCACACTGAATATGTGGAAGATGAGTGATAAGCTGGAACGAGTATCCACGTGATTCTATGGGGAGTGGGCGTTCAATCGATTTCCAGGAGTTCTTACACAGTTGATGTATTTTGATAGTTTAGTGAATGTGTTCTTGTGCGACTCCATACTCAACGTGCTTCTCTGGAGGCGCCCGGTACACCATCAAGAATCCGATAATCGCCTTTGATTATCATCCAGTGAACATACGATTGATCTTCCTCCTTTTTGCTGAAGTCTTTCTGGATGCTTTCTGGATTCGAAATGATCTGTATGTATTCTCAAGTGATCTACGCAAGCTGAGTGTTAGTGACTGGAAAGCTGCACAATCTTCCTATTTGCGATTACTAGCTTAATTTTTATTCAAGCCATATTATATTATCATTATATATAAAAGTAACAAGACAATAAAGCCCTTTCCCGGCTCCGTTTGCGAATACGTCACAGTCTGCGTATTTTTAAATTTGACCGAAAATCTATGAATGTCATAAAAACTCATATATACCGAAATTCTAAAAATTACGATTAGAATAAAGTGCTCATTCATTTATAATATAATATAATAAATCTTATTCATATATTTATTGTTGGGTGTCTTAAAATGTGGATTTCACTGGCGGAATCATAATACTTTTTGCTGATTGTAAATATCAGTATAAGAACTGTGTTCATCTCACATCTCTTCGTGACGTGCATTGAATCTGCTTTTGGTGTGACAATAAAAAATATTATTTTTGCGCTGCACACGGGCTTTTAACCCCCTTCTATTTAGAAACACTTACGGCTTTCCGTCATTGTCAGTTTTGAACTCGCCTCATACAATGTATGGATTCATCAAATCTGCAGTTTGTTTTCTGCAGTATATTTCCTTGGTAAATGCAGCCGAAAAACGGCTTAATCTGACCGCAGGACAGGCCATTTGGAACTGCAATGGTGGTGGATACGCCGACAATCCTGCTTTGTATTGGACTAGCAGTCTCATGGATTCTTCTGTACACATCCGGGCAGTAACACCTATCAATGGAAGACAATCTTGTGAATGGAATTTGGATGTTGCCGCAATCAGCACACCCGACTTGGACGTTGCCATAATCAGAAGATCCGACATAGAAGTGAGTGGGTATACCCGCATGTCACAGTGCCCTTATGGAGGGACTAGACACGACTGTTATGACAGTGTTTTTTTCGACAAAAGGTTCGACAAGCTCATTACTGAAAAACTCAACTCGAGTTCTATTGAATTATTCCAGCTGTCTAGTGAAAGCAGTGATACTGTTTTCACGCATTTTGTTGATCCTACGGTAAACTATTGCGTCATCATTACTTTGAACACTGCTGATAAGGAATGTGAAGTGTTAGTCGATGTAGACTGGCAAACCTCTTACGATCGGTTGAAAGAAGAAGATTTTCCTCGCACATACTCAAACGTGTTTTGCGGTCTGGTGCTTCTCGTTGGTTCCGCAGTTTACTACCATTACGTTTTTGATAAGGAGAGCTTGGCAACGATTGAGTACAAAACTGACGTCGACTGGACAGCCCAGCTCAAGAGCAAAGAGATACAGGTAAGGATTCTGATTCACATGGTTGCATTTTCTTGTGATAGGCTTGCAAATGCCAATGAACTGATTTGGGCACATATGCTTGGGTATCCTAACGCTAGCTTTGCCGTGGAGTTGATGAACCACGTAGAGGGCGTTACTGCAATGGTTGAGATTGGCTGGAATGCTTATAACAGATTTTTATTCTCAGCCGGTTATTTGCTTATACCGAATTCGGCAACCGGCTGGCAACTCAGTTTCATCAGGTTCTTAACTTTATGGCATATTGCCTTCATACTGGTATTCATCTTCGGAATAGACGCCGACGGCTTTGGTTCCTTCTTCACTGACAAAGCATTGTCAATGTTGTGCCTAGGGATACAGCTCAGTGTTATATACATGATTTACCGTTCCATTAAGACCTACTTTCGGTTACGCTCAGCTGCAGGTGGTGATACGACGCGCCGGTACTTGATGACCTTGTCGTTGTTCTTCTTGGAGACGTTTGCTCGTGAGATTGAACCTTTTTTGCTGGATGAGGATTTTTTGCATAAAGGTAATGGTAGTTTGCTCATGTCGGTCAAAGGCGTGATCGTTTTATTTGTTACAGCGTACATATGGAAAGATGAGGTAATTGGGCCAGAGAAGTCGTGGGTGTGGAACTGGTTTGTACAGGACGATCTAGATCTCGATGTGGCCATATGTGACCAATGTGGCCAAAGTATTCACACTTTAGCCGGCGAGAAAGGTTCAACCAAGATGCTGACTGAGCATCTGGGGATGCATCAGATTGACGAGGCGACGGCGAACCCAAAGGCCAATGTTGACAATTCTGTTATGGAAAACAGTGCTCAGCTTCCCCAAAAATCAAACTTAACACAAGGTGGCTATGCATCTCTGCCGCAGCATATTTTGAGCGAATTTGAGACTGCGCCTTACACCGGTGTGAAGTTTCACCGGGAGGTTATGAAATTTTTGGCTGAGAATAAGCTGCCCATCACAGTGGCAAGGTCGCCTACTTTCAGGCAAATCGTGTTTACTTTGCGTCCCGAATCAATACTTGATTTGGATGATCTTGACAATATCTATAGTTCGTTCGTCGACGTTTTCCAGATGACACCGGCTGAGGAGTGACAATAGTCGATGAGGTTTTCTATCCTTATAATCCGACGGGGGCTTTCTATATTGTCTCGCCTTGTCGCGCGCAACAGAAGATTCTACACATAATCAAAGCGTTTGGTGGATAATAGTGAGTCTAAACTTTTCGATGACAATCTCGAACTGACAAAAGATTGCAAATTGGTCTAATAACCTTGGAACTCACCAAACTGCTCGAAATTGCTTCAAATACTGTTACATCTCTACTTATTGACTGCGGTAGTTTCCTGATTTCCAGAGTTTTTTGAAAAAAGGTACCAAATAAGAAGAATAGAATCATCCTCTGATTGCGAACCCGAATCAGTTGTTTTGAAGCATAAGTGGACATCGTCCTGGCGGCAAAAAAAAAAAAAGACGAAGGCTTCAAATCAATTGTACTTGGACCAATATCGCGCCCGAGCTGTGCACGACCCGAATTCTGCCTCCTCCGGCAGTTTGAGTCCGCTTATCTTATCTTATCTTATCTTATCGCAGATAAGCTTCTTCAGCCTCTGTTACACCTGCCTCCAGATCTCCCAAAGTAAACTACGGAAGTGTTCGATTTCACCGGCACCTGCCAGCCAATCGGTAATATTTCATTTGACAATCAAAGCAATGCTTGAATAAATTCTAATGAGAAATTAACGGGAGAGCAGCAGTTATAGCATTATTATTGCACTTACAATCTACAGGTACTTTAGCCTTAAAAGTGAAACATGCAACGCCTACGCATCTAAAATAATTCTATATGTGTTCTCGTATGGATTGTCGGTCAATTCATTGACAAGCTCTGGCTTGACAGCGTACAGAGGGTTCTGGAGATCTCCAAAGTGACCCAGCTTTGGCTCACTTTGAGAAATTCCAAAGGCCTTCACCACATCAACTGACAGCGACTTGAAGTAATCCAAAGGAGTTTCGAGGAACAAATTCTCCTCTTGTCTCAAGACTCCCTGAGTCATGAACATGATACTTTGTTTGCGCTGAAAACAGGAAGCCAACATGAAGAAACAGTCTCCTTTTGTCATCTCAGCGTACATACACTCGTATTCATCGGGAACACGGTAGTGGTCCCACAAATGCGAGCCCGGAATAAACTTTGTGGCTCCGTTATCACGAGTTGTGGTGTGAGCGAGCATGCAACCGAGCGCAGTCTCGCTGCCATATTCGTATTTCTCACGGTATTGGCGGATTGCGTGGTGAATAATGTCATCGCGGTGCAAAGGCTGACCTTCTGCACCTGGTCCAATATTGAATGTCACAGCAGAGTTGAGCTGAGGTGCCGAATAAGCGGTGATGAGCTCATTCCCCATGATAAAAGCGTTTTCTCTTTTCTCTCTACTAAGAAAACGGGCCGCAACCTCTTGATACAACGGATGAGCCATATATTTCTCACAAGCCGTCTTCGATTTGTTCATGATTCCGCAAACTCTGGAGGTTTCCACCGGGAAATAACTACCTACCCAGTTCTTTTCTCCAAAATGTAGAGCAACCTCATCCCAGATCTGGTCAGTAACTTCAGCTGGCAGGTAGTTTCTGACGAAACAACCTCCATAAGTCTCTAGCTTCTGGGCAATCTTATCAGCAGTTACAGGCTCACTCACAGTGAGTTCCTCAACTGTGGGCTTTAGGACTCTGTCATCTTTGACCCTATTGAGGAACTTTGCCGTAGCGACATCTCCCTCACGGAAGAGTTGAGCGTGGAGGTGAATCTTTTGGGGGCGGTATCTGCGACGGTCATCTTGTGTATTCGATATCAGTCTTACAAATAATTTTACATCTTGCAGGTGTTTTAAAGTTTATTTAGATTATACGTGTTGTATCCTTATCTGATCCAGTTGTAATCTAATTGGGAAGCAGGTTCGAAACCTCAGGGGTAGGCAACTTTTAGCGAGGGCCCATAATTACGTAATGCCCTTCAAAAGCATCACCCAAACCATCTGCAATCGGTTATTCTCTGCCAGCCCTCTGACGATTTTTTTCAACTAACCTGGCATGTCTAAGCCAACGAGTACTTTCAAGAAAGGGACAAGGCGGTTCACCGGTTGTTGGACATGTCGGAGGCGTGGCGTGAGGTGCGATGAGAATCGACCTCATTGCAATAATTGCAAGGCCAATGGGCATGACTGTGAGGGCTATATGGTGAAGCTGTGTTGGGGGAATGATAATGGTAACCCCTCAAAACGAACACCTGAAAAAAACAGAAGTTTGATGTTGTACGAGTGGAAGGAGAATCAACTCCTCAATGACTTGAAAATCGATTACTTTTTGGATAGAATCGATATGGCGTCTGCAATCATCGGTTCCAAGAGCTATGAAAGCAAGGGTGACTTCGGTTACGGACCCTTCAACATATTTGATGGCGCTTGCAAACTACATGATGCTCAGAAGAGGTCGCAGTCTGGAAAGGATAAACAGGTTGATCATATCAGACCTCTATTCAATGACCCTCAAAAATTCTGTTTGGGTCCCGAAAGCAAGATCCGAGAAAGGCTCGATCAAACGTCGTTTTTGGGTATCGACAAGGATCTGAGAGTTGAGGTTTTTCTCTTGGATTTCTGGGATACTTATTTGAGCAAACTTTTGACGCCAGTGGATGAGACCGAGGTCAATCCTTACAACCTGATGTTGAGGGAAGCGCTGGACAAGCCTCATTCAGCCGAGATCCAAAGAGCTCTTATTCATACGGTATGTGCCATGTGCTCCAGTTTCCTGTCAAACGGTGCATGCCATAACTTGATCGCCCCCGAGTACCTAGGTACCAATTTTCTTCAGTACTGGAATTTCCATAAAATCAAGGGCCTCAGTTTTGTATCCGCCTCATATTCGTGGAAAGAGGCTTCTACAAGCGAAGAACTCAGCTTTTTGGTTGCATCCATCTATTTCCTATTGGCTACCGATATTTTTTCGAGCTCAGATGAGTGGCAAATTCATCTCAGGGGTGTGGTTGAAGCTTTGAAATCTATCAGCGATTGGGATGAAAAAGGCCATGAATCAGTTTTGAGAGAACCGGATAGTGTATCTGGAGCCCTGCTATTTTTCGCTCAGATGACAAAACTCACTTACCTGTTCAGCACACTTTATCTAGTCAGTGACGATGTGTGCAACAGGCATATGACAGTGATGGATCTTGAATTTATCACCTATCCCGAAGAGTACATGACTCAATCCCTGATGTATCGAAATACTGGAATCACATCAGGTATGTTGAGGTGTCTGACGAACATAGTGAAATACTTCCAGGTTGCAGGCTCACCACAAGCTCGAGAACTCGCAGTGAAGAGTATAGAACAAGAGCTAGTTGAATGTGAGCCTCCAGCGTTCAATGACATCCCGAACTCTCTGAATTCGTTGATAATATATCATCAATCTGTGATGTTTTATACGGCCATAAAGCTACTTTTTATGAGAGAGGTGAAGTTGCGAGACCCACATGATTTGGAAGATCTGGTGGACTCTGGAATTAACCACATAGAAATTTACGAAGAGATCTCGAAGGAATCCACAGGGCTTGGCTTGTTTTGGCCGGCTTTTGTAGTTTGCTGTGAAGCAACATCTCCTGAGTCGCAAGCAAGAATCACTTCATGGCTGCAAACAATAGAGCCTCATTGTGTGGACAGTATGAAACGTGGAAACCGGGTTATCAAGAAGATCTGGCAAAGGAGGCGAGATGAAGAGCAGGTAAGCTGGTTGACGGTCATTCGAGAAGTTGATCCCACACTGTTGTTGGTCTGAAACGAAACGGACAATGGGTATCAGTATGCGCGATGCTCTTGTGTAGCATATTACACACGCAATAAGGTCTGACTACCGAGCAGTCCAGCAATTTCGTATACATTTATGTAATTCTGTTTGGAAATATCCTGACTTTTTTCTTTTTTGCATGAAAGTACTCAGTTCGAAAAATGGGAAATTGTCCGATTGGATCTCCCTCTAGAGTGCCGTAGAATTGATCACTTGGCTATTGTTCAGACAATCTGCTCGGCACGCTTAATCATGTTTGAAAAGTCTAACCACACGAACGCTTGAGCTGGATTTGCTGGTCAAAAGTGTATAGATAAGCCTGTTATCTAATTCCGAAGAATGAATATTCTTATCAGCGATATATGTGGAAGATCTATACCGAGGCGGCCACCATTTTGGTCAAAACGATGCAACTGTAGGCGAGCCTGAATCCTTCAACGAATTTTTGGACCGTAACACGTAATCTCTTATCTACCTTATCTCCAAGTGTACAACATGCTGCTTACAATATCGATGCTATCACTTGATGCTATCACTTGACACTATCTTTCACATTCTGAACTATATAAAGGCCCAGGACTCGATCGTTGTCCTGGGCAAATGCCTTTATATTACAAGCAATTCTAAAACAGAAAAATGACAGGCTCACTGAAAGTTGAGCTCAAACATCAGAACGAAAACAACTCCAAGTCAAGCCCCGGCTTGGAAATAAGTGAGATGGCTGATTCTGAGACCGGGGAAGTTTTCAGAGACCAAGATGGTGGGAATGAGACTGCCTTGGAGAAGAACTTCGATATTTGGGGTGTGGTAGGGATTGTCTACTCATCAATCGGTACACCGCTTGCTCTTGGAACATATCTCAGCACTGTCATAGGCGTTGGAGGAGCTCCGTTTTTCTTCTACACATACTTGTTTGCAGGGTTTTTTTGTTTGCTCACGGCCTACTCCATGTCGGAATTTGCTTCAGTCCATCCACACTCTTCTGCCTTGGTTTACTGGACTCATTTATATGCGCCTCAAAACTATGCTAGACCTCTTGCATATCTAAGTGGTATTCTATCATGTGCTTGCTGGATATTTGGAATGACCGCCACTGGTTTCTTTGTTGCTGACCTTGTTTTGGGGCTGGTATATATGCATCATCCCGATTACGTGAGCCAGACCTATCACTACTACTTGATTTTTTTGGCCAGTGTGGTGTTTGCAGCCGGATTTAACATATTTGGTACGAGACTCATTCCTTTGTTATCCCGAGTTGTTACCTATGTTATCAATCTTGGAACACTCTTCACTCTTGTTGCACTATTGGCAAGAGCACACCCAAAGAGAACCGCTGCTTTTGCTTTCAAGGATGTCACCAACACGACAGGGTGGAGTTCAAACGGGGTTGTGTTTTTCATCAGTATGTTGCCCACCACAGCTACTGTTACACTTTTTGATGGAGCATGTCACATGACAGACGAGATTCCAAACCCAAAGAAAAACATTCCAATTGTGATTGCATATGGTTATACGGGTGCGTATCTCATTGGATTTGTTTCAGTTTTGGTTTACAACTTCTGTATCGTGAATCCAGATAATCTGCTTGATCCTGTTGGTGGGATTCCCCTTTTCCAGCTTTATGTGGATTCTTTGCACAATGATGGATTAGCGACAGTATCTGCGTTGATAATCATTGTGGCTTTTCTTCTCGCGAGTGTTGGGCTTCTAACCTCTACCAGCCGTCTCGTCATGTCCTTTGCAGATTTCAATGCTTTACCTTTTGGAAAGGCTATCGGATCAGTGAATACCAAACTTAATGCACCTGTATGGGCAATCATGTTTGTTGCGGTCTTGACTTGTTTAATAGGGCTTCTCATTTTTGCATCCAGCACAGCATTGAATGCTGTTTCGGGAAGCTTTGTTTCCACAATGTATGTGGCATATCTCATTCCATTTGTCGCTTTAGTTCTCAAGAAAGACAGATACGGAAAAGGTGTGAAACCTTTATTCAATCTTGGAAGATGGGGAAAACCAATGAACATTATATGTATTGTTTGGTTTTTGTTTGCGTCAGCCTGGTTGTGTGTTCCATCCTACGTGCCAGTCACAGCTAACACTATGAACTACACCGTTGCTGTTTTGGGTGCTACTGCCTTTGTTGCCTTTGCGAACTGGTTTGCTTATGCACGGAAGCACTTTTCGATTGGTATTATCAAGGAGATTGAGAGCGAGGAAGAAATCGAGGAAGAAATCGTGGAAGAAATCGTGGAAGAAGTTCACGCAAAGGCCCAATAGTTAGAAAACACTTTTATTAATAATTTGAATTTACTTTGCTCTGTTAAGTTTGAAATCCACATAACCTGAGGGGAAAGAGAGGCCGGAGGTGTAGACTTTGAATTGAATTAAGCTTGTTATAATCAGTCGATTCGATTTGCGAAGTTGGCTGATGGATGTGGTTGTTTTAATTTCGGCTCGACATATGCATTGATTTTTGTCATCTGCATCTCTCTACTTTGGCTGTCATATTGTTGAGAGCAATAATTTCGTTTGACAGTGTCTTCAAAAATTCAATGTCGATCTATAAATCTTGATTGACTGGTATGCATGAATTTTTTTTGGATTGTATTTTCAAGAAATGCATGAATGAAGACCAATATATAGTCTTGGATCTGAGCATCGCTTTCGAGTCATCGTTTCCCCAGAATTGCTGATTATCGGGGCATTTACAAAATACAAATAGATTCACAATGACACTAAAAGAGATGAACTTCACATAATCCGACGATAATCCGACGGGGGCTTTCCATTCACATAACCCGACGCACGCGATTAACGTCATGTCCGTATGCACACATATTGAATTTTACATTTCTTTCAAAGACAGTCTCATGTGAGACTTTAGGGTCGACTTGGGCACATATGTTGGTGCATGAGTGAAGTTGTACAAACAAACTCATCAACCTTTTTTCATACTAAAGCGAATAAAAGAAAACAATCTAAAAGCTTCAAAGTGCTCAGCCGAATTGTCCCTCCTTCAGATTCATGAGCATCTCGTCGGATTGTTCCGGGATGATGCACTTGTAAAGTATTTGAGAAGTACTATAATATTTACGAGTTTTATTTCAATTGGAGCAGTGATCAATATTCAAATCCGTTGTCTGTCTACTAGACAAGGACACCAGGATATACAGAGGTATACGGATCGTCATTCTTTCTCTTCTCATAGTGTTCTGGCTTGAACGTGCGAAGTCCATCATAACCATCTACCATCCCTAAGAAAGGATAACTCAGACTCAATCCCAAAGTCTTCAAGGCAGTCACTGACAATGACTTGAAGTATTCAACTGGAGTACCAACCATGATGTTTTCCTCCTGTCTTAAGATCCCTTGAGTCATGAAAAGAATGACTTGGGTTCTATAATCGTCCTCTGTGGTGTTAGCAGATCCCCCATGATAGCATGAGGCCAGCATAAAAAAACAGTCACCTTTTGACATCTCAGCATATACTGCTTCCGAGGGCGTTGGTTTTCTCATGTGAGACCATAGATGTGAACCTGGCACAAATCTAGTGGCCCCGTTTGCTTTCGATGTATTCGATAACGCCAATACCGAACCCAAAGCCGTCTCTGTGCCGTACTCGTAAACATCCATGTGCTTCCTAATGTTATGATGTAACATATCATCTCTGTGCAAAACTTGATCTGCGGCTCCGGGTCCAATTTTGAATGTTATGCACGAGTTATGCTGCGGCGCAGAATAACCGGTGACAACCTCATCTCCAATCCAGAAACAGTTCTCTTTACCCAACACGGCATCACTAACTGCCAAGTTCAAAGGATGGCACACAAACTCCTCAGTTGTAACCACAGACTTTTTGCACATACCAGGAACCGTACGAGTTTGACGGGGCAAAAAAGTCCCTTCAAAATCCTTGTCTTGGTCGATATATTTTTCTGCGTCTGCAAGGATGCGATCAACTGTTTCTAGAGGTAGGTAGTTCTTGACAATACAACCACCATACTTTTCTAATTTTGCAAGCACTTTCTCAAGGGTCGCTGGTTGTTCAACAGTCAAATCTTGCAGTGTGCACTCCACTGCAACATCGTCCGACTTCTTAACTTCTGCAACTTTCACACCTTCCTTTTCAACAACTGTGAAGGCTTCTTTGGTATTCGAAATCATGTCTGTATTCTTCACTGTTCTCAGTTACTGCGAAAAAACAAAAGTGCTGCAAGGATAGTATAAATCATGATGTTTAAATACCCACCTGCACATCAACGGAAAATTGCCGCATCAAGTAACCCCCCGATAATGGAATGCATGGACGGTGGGTTCGTACTTTCGAGCACTTCTCGGAATCCAAAAAAGACCACAACAGGGCGGGCTGTCCCAATTTGTGCTGGGCACTACTTAGAGGTGCATTTGTTGATAAGAAATTTCTAAATCAGGCAACAGGTGTACTTGAAGCCTCTATCTGGCATCTCTCGGGTCGTTATCGGTTGCTCCTTTTGACGGCAAGCTTCAGTTTTGCCAAGGATTTTCAATTTCGGAAGTTGCAAACTGCTTTTCAAGAAAATCGAACAAACTTCAATCTATTGATAAGCATATAACAAATTCTATGATATGATACGGTAAAAAACGGGTCATTAAAACAGGAATTCAATAATGATTGATACTGAATTCATATTAGATACCTAGGCCAAAACATTACCATCAATATTCAAGCTAGGATTATCATCACCGGTAACCTTGTATTGATGGGAAATCAACAATTAATCAAATTAAATTAAACCTCTCAAACGTCATCAATAATCCCCGGCTGCTGAATAGAATGCCCCCATTGGATCAATGGAAATCAATTTTGATTCCTATGACTACTTTTTGGAGAGCTTTCCGCATATAATAGGAGCCTCTCAATACGAGAATTTATATGAAATCATAACTTAGGGAGATTCAGCTTGCCTTAGCTGCGCTCGACTCCGCAGGGGTATAGGAGGTTCTGCGTCCAGCGAAGGAACTTGCTAGATTCCTTCAATCCAGAAACAAGGACGAGTTGACATGTCAATCGGCTGACCTGCTCGCCGCCTTCTCTTTTGTCCCAAACCATTTTGATGATCCGAGAACCCCGCCTCACTGCGTCCGCACTGTAAAGGCCAACAACTTTCAGCCATTCTTCAACTCTTGCTTGCGACTCAGGAGATGTTGCTTCACAGCAAACTACAAAAGCCGGCCAAAACAAGCCAAGCCCTGTGGATTCCTTCGAGATCTCTTCGTAAATTTCTATGTGGTTAATTCCAGAGCTCACCAGATCTTGCAGTTCGTGTGGATCTTCCATCTTCACTACCCTGTGAAACAACAAACTAATCGCAGTGTAGTATATGAAAGACTGATGATACACCATCAACGAGTTCATAGAGTCCATGCTGTCGTTGCACGGAGGAGGCCGGCAATTTATCAGCTCCTGTTTAATCTCAAAAATTGTTTTTTTTTTGTTCTTGATCTTCTGTTGAGTCTGCACTGCACATGTTCCACTATGGCTGTCAAACACTTCAACATACCTGGCGTGATTCCTGCAATGCGGTAAACTAGAAACTTGGTCATGTTCTCCTCTGGATATTCCATGAATTCCAAATCCTTGAGTGTTAAGTATTCATTGCAAACATCGTCGCTGGGCATGTATGGTGTGCTCTGCAGGTAGGTCAGTCTTGTAATTTGGAAAAAAAAGAGCAGGGCGCTGGATAATCTCTCTGGAACGCCTCGTCCTGAGACTAAAGTTCCCCCCATCCGAATCGCTAATGGTTTGCAGAGCTGATACAACACCTCTCAGCTGGATCTGCCATTCATCTGAACTGCTGAAACAATCCGTTGCTATTAGGAAATATATGGATCCTACCAAAAATATCAGCTCTTCATTCGTGCAAATCTCTTTCGACGAGTATCTGTCAGAAATAGAACTGAGTGCTCTGACCTTGTGAAACTTTGCGTACTCATTGAAGTTAGTGCTCTGGTACTTCGGGGATATGAAAGTATAATCAGCACTGCTTGATAAAAAGTCCGAACAAATAGCGCACACAGTATGTACGATGCCTATATGGATGTCAGCAAGATGCGGTTTATTAAGAGCTTTGTTCAACAATCGGTTATAGGGATTTACCATTGAGTACGATGTCAACACCAGGTGTAACTCGACGTACAGGATGCTGAATGGTGCTGTGCGTAATCGCCGACTAATCAACAGATGGCAAAACGATCCTAGTTCGCCGTTCAAAGTTGATGAAATACTCACACCTTTGAAGACTGGGAGCTGATAACTGATCTCTTGAAGATATTGGGGCCTATGAACTTTGTCACATTAAAGGACCCAAAGCGTGCCCCTCTGTTTCACAGGTATTTGCCTTTGCTGGATCACCTGACCCAGCAGTTAGCGTCAGCAGCAAAAAAAGAAGGTTCCTTCAAAGATATAAACGTTGGAGTGAGCAGTTTGGCTTTGAACGGGTTATGCAAAGCTCGAAGTTACCTCCATCATGCTCATTCACAGCCACTAGTCATGAAAGGAGCGTTGTTGGACCCGTTCCAAAGAGCAAGGGTTTACAGGCCGCGATCACATAGTCTGACTGAGCTTACAGAGGGCGCATATCAAGCTGCTCTCAGAGAGATCAAAGAGGAATAATTGTGTACCAAAGTGTTGATGAGGAAGCTGAACCCATAAGTCAAGAAGATGGTGACTATTTTGCATATGAAAGCTTAGTGCAAACAAGTCAGCAATCAGAACTCGAGAATTATATGGAAGTTACGGAGAAACGCAAAAAGCATCTTTCAGGACGCACGGATGACTCTTTTTCTGAGATATCGGAGTGGTGGAAAACAGCCGACAAGTATCCAGCCTTACGAGAAGTGGCAAGGGATGTGCTATATATACCTGTCGGTGAAGTCAGCGTTGAGGGAGTGTTTAGCTCGGCTGTTGACGTCTTGGGTCTGCGTAGACACTCAATGAAACACAACACTTCAAGGATGTTGATTAATCTCCGTGCCACTTGGCCGAACGTGAAAGAAGGCAAAGAGGTAGACCCGCTTGACCCAGGCTCCAAATATTACGAGGACATAGAAACAGACTTGATCAAGGTGCTTCGGGAGAACGCACGAACATGACTGTCTGGAAACGCGAAATATCCAACGTCGCAGCAAATTTGGCAAAAACTTGAAGTACATACCATGCGCTTTAGGATATAATAAATTAAAATGAGTTGCTTACTCAACCCCTCAACATGATGAGGCCATGCTTGGTTATTTGAATCCATGCAGGCTTCTTTGCTTTTCAAATCTGCCCGAAACTGCGGCTAGCCATACTACACAAGTCACTTCTGTGAGTCTTGCATATTAGATCTACCAGGATTTGACCTTGAGTGGTCCATCAATTAGGGGTGTTTTTTGTGAATATCAAACTGAAGGAGTCGTGGATCCGGTAACAACGAAACTACATGAAAGTATGTGAACTGTATATGGCCTGTATAAGAGAACTCAACTTTAGCATTTGATTGAGATATTTTGAAAATTCGAGCTTAAGCAGAAAAGGTGTCAAAACGATTTGGGATGATTTTGAAAATGGCCAGTAGTATTTGGTTAAGTGGCGCCTGTACTGGGTTTCATTAACGATTCTAAAGGCTTGAACAGTCGAAACCTAATAATTCGTATGGGTCGAATATTGAAGAATTGTTCAAATGAAGTTATGAGTTTGATTTCAAATCTGCGCATCTAACTCGAATCAACTTTCCTCAGATTTGTCGAGTTTTGTGGCTAAAACGAACCATCTATATCTCTCTATACATGTAGATCTTCAAACTTTAACCAAACAAAGGAGTCGTCTTACTACCACAAGCCAGCATCAAACTCATCATCAAAGGCACCATTCAACCCAATATTCAAATTGAGCCGAAAGCTTATCTAGAGCAACTCTTGCCGATGAGCTGCACAGCCGTGAATAAATCCATCACCTAAATAGTTCCGTTACCAGTTGCCTATTCCGGAAAGTGCACAATCTGATCGCTCATGCACAAGCAACGCCCCTAATTCAAAGCAGCTAAAGCTGTGTTCGCGATAAGGCCATACAAAGGCGGATCGAAAAATACTATATAGAGGCCCGAGTTTTCCCAGTAGCTCGTCGAGTGTTCGCTCTCCTTGTGGTTCCCTTTAAGCAGATCAAACGAATTGCAATGACCAAGCTCCTTGAAAACAGAAACGCAATTGTGACAGGTGCTTCTCGTGGCATCGGTGCTGGAATTGCATACGCTTTAGCTAAAAATGGTGCCAATGTTATCATCACCTATGTAGCTTCTGCTAGCAAGGCCGAAGATCTAGCCAAGAAGATCAAAGCCGAATTTGGTGTTGAGGCGTACGCCATCAAGTCTGACGCCAGCCAATACGATGCTGCCGAGAAACTGGTCGCAGAAGCGACAAAGCTCTGGAAGAACATTGATATTATCGTCAATAATGCAGGCATTGATAACGAATGTTTGCTTGATGACCTTACAGTTGAAGGATTCCACAAAGTTTTGCAGGTGAACACCGTTTACCCAGTTGAACTGGTTAAACTCTGTGTGCCATACTTTCGTGAAAGACCAAGAGTCATCAATATCTCCAGTGTTTTTGGCAGGACTTCGAACTCATATAACGGCGCCTACTCC